AGGTTCCTCTATCAGACTGGCTTTGATTCAAGACACCAGTACGTCAAACACTAGTAAGAATGGGAAGGAATAATTTCTTAGCCTGCTGCTGATGGAAACACAAAGTACTACAGCCAAGACAGAGGCAGTTAGTTCATCATAAAACAGTATACTATATGATATAGAAAGTAAACTCCTTGGTATTTACCCAAACGAAATGTAATGTGTACATGAAAACCTGTGAACACACTTGCTTGTAGCAACTCTACTTGTAATCTCCCAAGCTTTAAATCAGCCAAGATCTCTTTAACAGGTGATTGGGCTGATACAATGTGCTATGGCATAATGTTTTAATGACATCACTATACCATTAGTGTGACTATCATCCCCCATCAGAGAAGCTTCCTTCTGCAGTAGATAGCAATTAACAGAAGCCCACAGCTGGCTAAGGTGCAGAGAAAAAGATACAGAACAGTACTTAGCCCTAACTGGTCCCCTATCCTATGCCCCTCCTCCAAAGGCACAGGGATCATTGTGGAGATGGGATGAATTAGGATAAGTGTCATTCTTTGTGGATTACTACAATAGGACAGTGTTTAAGAACACAACAGGGCAGTTACACACACGAGCTCTTAGCAGTTGTGAAAGAATGTACAAGACAGACAGATACAATCCCAACATCGAAAGGGGAGGTGGTGTACGGTCCCTGCTCTAGCTAAAGAGCTGTTTTTAGGGAATTGATAGTTTCTGGGACACAGTTTTCTTTAAGTGTGCAGCCTCCTGTGGGTTGTCCCCATGCCAGTGGAAGGCTACAGGCATACAAGTGTATATGTGCAGATCAACGGCCTATGATGGGTGAAAATAAAAAGGCTAGAAAGTTGGCTTGGTAGGGAAGGATAAGTAGATCTGGGAGGAATTGTGGGAGGGGCTGAATGGCATCAAAATACAAAATTCACAAAGACCTGAATAAAATAAGAAAAATTATCAAGAATGCTTATATGCACACTATTAAGATAAAGGGATCAAACTAAAGACATGTATTTTATATACCCTTCACTGTGCTTATATTATAATATTTGCATTACATATGCATGTACAATTATGGTAAATATACAAATATGATAATAGTATAAAAATCAAGGTTGTCAGGAGCTTGACAATGGGTGGATGAAAGAGCAAGCACTCTTTAGAATTTCATACAGGCATATCCATATGATACAATAATAACAACCACATGCTATTGCATAGTTACTGAGCACCATAGAAACTACAGCGACGAACCTGGGCCCTGTTGTAAGATCAGCACTTTAGTGGTAACGTGCAGATCCTGATTCTTCACTATAACAAATACACACTACTTCATGATGCTGACAACCGAACACTTTGATGTTAAAGGAGTCATGATGGGGAGGCTAAGCTTTTCCATTTTTCTGTTGAGCTGAAACAGAAGAAAGCATCCTTTGCAGAAGAGGAGTAATAAAGACACTCTGTTTAGGGCAGCATATTCCAAAGTGTCTTACACTGTGTATGTTGTCTAATCATGTTACTGTTAGTAGGTGCTATCCACTGCAACAGGAAGATTCTCTGATGAGCGTTGAGTGAGGCACTGATCTATGGATACAGCCACGTGTCCTTATGAGTCATTTCCTTGCTATGTTCCTTTAGCAGAATAATAATAGTAGGTTTTCCCTTAGGGCCAATGACATACAGTCTCTGGTACTTTGCTTTCTTAACAGTGGCAGGTATGATTTCCACCTCATGGAGGGGGCCTAAATTCCAATTTTTTTACCATGACATTTGTGACCCTATATTGAACTACTGGGTATATCTTGCAGGAAGGCCACAATTGCAGATCACAGGGTTCAGAGCTGAGTGTGATTGCTGATGATTTTCTCTTCTGGTGGCATGTATAGTGGCTTCCAGCCCTATGGTATTTTGGATGATAATGGTTCCCATAGACCTATGTGTTGCTGTAGTTTTCTGTCCTTCCGTGTTCCACTGCTGCTTTAGCACAAAATAAACACACAAAGACTTACATTAATTGTTGACCAATAGCTAGGGCTCCTTATGGGTTAGTCTGTCTTAATTATTAACTCATTTCTAGAAGTCTATGTATTTCCACATGGTTTTGGCTTACTGGAAAATTCTGGACCTGTTTCTCCTTTGGCAGCTACATGACATCCCTTTGCTGTCCCTCTTTGTCTACTTTTTCCAGAATTCTCCTCGTCTTCTAGTCCCGCCTATCTTCCCGCCTCTATTAGCAAACTGTTTTATTCATCAATCAATAAGAGAAACATATACACAAAAGGTCATTCCCCCATCAACCACATATTTGAATACCTGGTCCCAAGATTGTGTGACTTTTTGGGAAAATTAGGAGCTGTAGCCTTTTTGGAAAATATGTGTTACTTGCAACAGGTTTTCAGAAACCATTCTCGGTGCCCCTTCTCTGAGGATCAAGAAGGAGGCTCTAAACTATTCATTTCTCCACCATCATGAATGGTAACCCTGAAAATACAAGCCCAGTTAAACACTTAGAGGACTAATAGGCCAACCCAAAATGGATTCCATGTTTTGTTATTTGCTTTGTGCATTTATATGTGCTATTCTTTGTTTTGGTGCGTGTGTGCGTGGTGTGAGTGTGTGTGTGTATGTGTGTGTGTGTGTGTGTGTGTGTGTGTGTGTTTAAGAGACAAAAAGTTAGAGGAGGTGGTCTGTGAAGAGTTGGGGGAGAGGAAAGAATATGATGAAAGAATATTGTAAGAACATATTTAAAAATAAAAATACCACATTTATTTTATGACTCTCATTCCACAATTCTCTGGGGAATGGTTATTGACTCTGAATGAAAAGTGTCCGTATTTTCTATTTTGAAGCATCATGCTGATCTGCCGTCTCCATGGTGCTCATAAACCCTCGTCATCATCTGAAGTTAGCCAAGCTTTACACTAAAATGGAAAAAGCCAGGGAAAGGCTCCCATAGTTGTGTAATTAAAACAAACAAGGCACATAGTAGATACAGCCTGCATTTCAGTGTCTATAGAACTTAATGTATAATAGAAATAACATGTGCCAGGACTGTGGCTTTAAATTTGCAAGGGTGATTCATATGTAATTTGGGCTAATCTCTGTCAGAATGTCTCTGAATTGCCTGATTAAAAGACCCTGAACCTTTAGATCTGGGACCCTGATACACTAGATCGGAGACAGGATTTCATAAATTACCTTTTCAAATTACCTTTTCATAAATTCTGCAGGTGACTTTACAGTTTGAGGATTATAGTATTAGGCAAGGATATTAAAATATCCTTTGTCTTGATATCAACTCTTCACATGAATTTTTACATTTCTTTTTTAATTTTAAAACTTTTTTGCATTCCAATCCCAGTTCCCCTCCCTTCTCTCCCCTCACTTTCCACTTTCCCCTTCCTGCCTACCGTCTGTTCCTCAGAGAGGGTAAGGCCTCCCCTAGGATGTCAACTAAGTGTTCCATCATATCACTGAGGCAGGACCAAGGTGTCACCTCCCTCCATGTCTCAGCTGAGCATTATATCTCTCCATAGAGAATGTCCTCCAAAGAGTCAGTTTATTCACTATAGTTAGCTCTTGGTCCCACTGCCAGTGCCTTCATAGATTGTCCCAGCTGTACCATTCTCATCTGTATTCAAGGGTCCTAGTTCAGTCCTATGGTCGTTCCCCAGTTTAGAGTGTGGAGTCAGTGATCTCTTACTCGCTCTGGTTGGCAGATTCTGTGGGTTTCCCCATCATGGTCATGACTCCTTTGTTCATATTATGGCTCCTTCCTCACTTCGATTTTACCCCAGGTTCTTGGCGCAATGGTTAGTTATAGATCTTTGCACTGGCTCCCATTTGTTTCTGGAAGAGGGTTCTAGCTTTTCTGGGGTTGTGGATTGTAGACTGGTTATACTTTGTTTTATGTTTAATATCCACTTATGAATGAGTACATATTCTGTTTGTTTTTCTGGATCTGGGTTACCTCAGTATGTTTTTTTCTAGTTCTGTTCATTTGCTTGCAAATTTAAAGATGTCTTAGTTTCTTACCACTGAGTAATACTTCATTGTGTAAATGTACCACATTTTCTATCCATTCTTCAGGGGAGGGGCATTTAGGTTTCTTCCAAGTTCTGACTATTATGAATAATGCTACTATGAACATAGTTGAGCAAATATCCTTGTGGTGTGAGTGTGGCTCCTTTGGTATATTCCCAACAGTGGTATTGCAGAGGCGTGGCGTAGGTTGATTCCTAATTTTCTGAGAAATTGCCATACTGATTTCCACAGAGGCTGTACATATTTGCACTCACACCAGCAATGGAGAAGTGTTCCTCTTACTCCTCATCCTCTCCAGTGTAATCTATCATAAGAGTTTCTGATCTTAGCCATTCTGGTAAGTGTTGCTCTGATTTGCATTTCCCTGATGCAACGTTGAGCATTTTCTTAAATGTCTTTCTACCATTTGAGATTGTTCTGTTGAGAATTGTCTGTTTAGGTCTGTATCCCATTCTTTAATTGGATTACTTGGATGTTGTAGATTTAGTTTATTTGCTATTGGTAGAAACTGATTGTTCTAATAGGAAGGATAGTTATTGTGCAAAGGAGTCACCAGATAGAATTGATGCTTGTACATTCTCTCCAAGATGATGTCTAACTGCCTTCTATGAAATCTGACATTACCCCATAGTGAGGCCAAATTCATGGAAATGATAATATTGTGTGTTCAGGTAGATTTTTTTAAACTTGAAGGTAATTCTTAGTAAATATTTATATGTTAAAAATATATGTGTATCTCTGTTTCTGTTCTTTGTATATGTATATATGTCATTTGCATGTGGATATCCTTGGAGGTCACCAAGTGAGTCTCAGATCCCCTGGAGCTGGAGTTTCAGGCAGTTTGAGCTGCCATGTGGGTTCTGGGAACCAAATTTAGGTCTTCGAAAAGAGTAATGCCAAGTCTCCATCTACTGGTGTCATTCTTAAACATGTATCTCCTTCTTTCTCAGATGTTTCATGGAACAATCACCAAAGAGCTTACCAGTCATGAAGAATGGAGTCACTACAATGAAAATATCATTGAAGATCAGAAGGACTTTGTGTTTGTAAAGTATAATGGCCTCCATCTGAAGTCCATGGAGTGCCTGCAGTCCTGTATCTCTCTGAGGGTGTGCATCTTCTCTAACAACTTTGTCACTGACATCCAGCCTCTGCATAGCTGCATAAAACTCATAAAACTTGATCTCCATGGAAACCAGGTAAGCGTGGACCACTGTCTGTATGCCACTCTGCAATGCTATTTCCAGCCATTGAAAATATAAACATAAGCTTAAAATCATATACAAATGAGGCACATAGGCACAGAATATAACATGTAATCCAAACATTTTAAACAATATGTGTATGATGTGCTGTTCTTTTCTTATTTTTAAATTATGTATGTATAGAGTGTCTCTGTTTCTGTGCTCAATGTGTGTAGCTTCCCACAAAGGCCAGAGGAGGGCATCTGGTTCCCTGTATCTGTAGTTACCCTGCTGTCATCCATCCTGTATGTGCTCTGGGGACTGAACTGCAGTCAGTGGAAGAGCAGTAACACACTCAGCAGCAGAGTCATCTCTCTAGTCTGTTTCACTTCTGAGGGGGAAAGTCCTTCTGCGAATATGTTTGTCCTATTGGTTGATAAAAAAGCACTGTTGGGCCAATATGGAAGCAAGATAGGTGGAACTGGGACTTGAGGAGGATTCTGGGAAATGTAGTCAAGAATGGAGAGTCATCATGTGATCCCAGGAAGAGAGGACACCTGAGGCTGGCGTCCTCTATAAGTCCTTGTAAAAATATATAGATTAGTAGTTATGGTTTAATAATTCAGTCAGAGTTAGCCAATAAGAAACCATAGCAAACAGCCAACAGATTCATAATTAATATGAATTATGTCCTGTGTGTTCATTTGGGACTGACTCAACACTGGGACCAGGCTGGCGGGAAGAATGCTCCGTTACACACTTCCCATTAAATTATTTTGCTTTAAGGATTTATTTTTCATTGACATTTGTATTTGTGTATGTATGTGTGTGTGTGGTTGGAGCTGCTCATGCCAGAGAGGGTTGCTGATGCCCTGGAGTTACCCATAGCTGTGAGTTGTCAAGTGTAGGTTTGGGTCTGGTAGAAGAGCAGCCAGAGCTCCTAACCACAGAACCGTCTCCTCAGCCCCATAGTTTTAATTCTTATCTGTGCAATCTGGATTAATAATACACTGAGTTCTCAATTCTTTATGTGAGGAACCTCATTTGGAATTGTACTAGTGACTTTTCACTGGAGGATCTGTATCCTTACATAACCGTGAGTGTGTGCATACATTCACTGTGTTACTAATTACACTGTATTCCAAATACCCAGTTCTTCCTGTCTTTGCAGTCATCGGGTGGATAATTGGAGATCCTGCTTTTAATTTTTAGCCACCCACCATTTGCAAAATACTGAATTTTAGGTGATATTAAATGCTTCACTATTTTTCATTGCAGATTTTATGAACCATATTTTAAATATTATTTCAGATAAAGACTCTTCCAGACAGAAATTTTTGGGGTGGACTCAAGAACTTAAAACTCCTCTATCTCCATGACAATAGTTTTTCCAAGCTGAAGAACATCTGTGTGTTAGCTGAGTGTGAAAGCCTTATTGGGCTGACCATGTTTGACTGCCCCGTGAGTCTTAAGAAAGGATACAGGCACGTACTTGTCAACAGTATCTGGTCTCTCAAAGCTCTGGACCACCATGTTATATCCGATGAAGAAATCATTCAGAACTGGCATCTTCCAGAGAGATTTAAAGCATTCAACCCCAGGCTATTCTTGAACATTTGCCCTGCGTTGATAAAGGTAACCCACTCAATGTTTCCTTCAAAATAAGTTCATAGATATAAAATTTTAGCTCTAAATACTATACTTAAATGTCTAATATTGTTTCATATCTTTTATAAAAATATCCACTGGTGAAAGCATTAGTAGTGGACTTTATATCTGATAGTTTATAAATGTTTGTATATGTCTTATGCAAACATGTCAGTTCTAAAATCAAATTGTATTTAAATACATTTTTAAGTGAAGGATATTTGTTTTGATATATGTTGATTCTTGTGGGAACTTTTTATTGCTGAAATGGCATAATATAATTTATATTATCATTGGAAGTGGTAAAAGTACTTACTTGTTATTCAGTTAATTTAGTTTAATTTTCATAACCAAATGTTTTTGACATAAAATACTGAAAGCTCTTATGAATACTTGAAACCCTGAGGTTTTACATTATTGTATATATTTAAAAAGATAACCATTCTTCATAGCACTTGAGTTTTAGAACAGACAAAATTAAGAAGGAAAGCTTAATTCTTCAGCTCTTAGAAAAAGTATGAATTAAGCACAGGACAGAATCTGAACATGGATTTGGAGAAAAGTATTTTCAAGTGTGACATGAACAACAGGAGCCTCCATGTAGAGATTACTGGGTGGCTTCTTCACTGTCAAATACCATGGAACTTTGAACAGATTAAGAGAGTTGCGGCATAAGGTGATGCGACCTTGTAAGACTGTCACTACATAGGTGATCACTCATTGAGCAAACGTAATTATGTGTTACATGTCTACATTTATGCAGGAACTCTGAGTAAGGATAAGGAACTATTGTGGGCAGTGATGAAGCTGGGAGAGCATATGGATACTGATTGTGAGAAGGGTGAATGCAAAGCTACAAGGTTGTACTGTAACTGCCTGTAGAACACGGTTATACAATATTAGTTTAAAAACTTGGGGTTTGGTAATTACCTTGTAATAATTGAAAAAATGGGGTAACATTTAAGCCTGGTGTCTTAACCTGCACCCTCAAAGCAAAGGATCACTTAGGATCCTCCCTGTGGTGGCAGCATATGGGAGCTCTTCAAGGATGGTCAGAATAGCTGAGGTTCCTTTAAGGAAGTAATAAAAAGTCTGAGGAGGGAGACAGAAGGGATAACCATGGAAAGCAGATGAAGAGCCTAACCTCCTCAGTAGAGTGATCTACTGTAAAAACTGTAGTTTTACTGACTGCAAATATAGCTGTTCCCTCATACTATGTGCTCTGTACACGAATGACATTGCCAAAGTTCACTAAAGAAAATCCAGTATTTGCTGGAAAGCCCAAAGGCAGCTGGAAGGGGAAGCAAGGGAAGGAAAAAGAAGCAACCAACTCTAGCAGATGAGAAGACCTCTCTGGAAAGATCTATTTAGTCCCTAGCATCCCCTTTGGCAGGGAAAGCCTTTTCCTTTGCAGAAGAGGAAAGTTCTGTGAGGATTAAAAGCTGACCCAATTCCAGAGAGGGTGTTGCAATGCTTTGAATTCAAGTCTTTCTCCCTTTCAGGGTCTTTCAGCCAACATCATGTCACAAAGAATAGTGCAAAGATTTAATGGTCTATGTTTAATACATAAAATGTAGAGGGAGAAGTAAGGAAATAGATTTCTAATATTTTGACCATGAGTGACTGGCATAAAATAAAATGGCTGCATGTAAACTTGCAGTAGAAATATGAATTTTATCCTGTTCCATTATGTTTTGTTTTTACATTTTGATGGGGAAAGACAAAATATGCTTGTAAACAAAGAGCTAAAATCCAGAGGGAATGTTCTGGGCTTGTGGTGTGAACCCAATCCTTTGCTTGAAGTTGTAGTTGTGGCCTGACATGCTCAGTACAATAGAGAGATCCATAAAGACTGAGACAATGAGCAATCCTTGAAGCACATACTCATTTAGTATGTAGGAAGCACTGGAGCTAGTGAGGACAGAAGGGAATTGATCTTGGGAGGCGAGAAGAAAAGCAAAGGCACAACAGTTACTATCATGCTGGTTAAGGAAAAGTAATTTTTAGAAAGAAAATGTAGAAAGTCTCTGAAGGACAGAAAAAAAGTAGCACCAAGGTGGTTTTGAGAGTCAGGTGGATATGAAAGGGCTGCCCCAGGTCGAGCTTCTCACAGCCCGCAAGTGCCAGGAATAAAAGGACAGTGAGCAGTGTGATCGCCCCTATAGCATATCTCCCCCAGAAGCCTACACAGAGAAAAGGTAAAACTTTAATTCTGGTAAATAGGATGCAGGGAGGAACACGTTTTGACTGAACAGCAAAAAGATTAAAATTTGCAGAAACATGGTAATAGTTGAAAAAAACATTTTGGAGTCATTACTGTTTCAGGGAGAGATCAATGGGGCATCCCCTCCATTCTGCATTGTTGACCAATGTTGGAGTCCAGGGAAGGGAATCTTTGTCTTTATCTCTGCACCACTAAGGGTCCACAAGGCTCCAGGGGAGAGTTCTAACCCCATGGTCAGACAGATGACCCTGTTGGAAGCAATGCAATGAAAAACAAAGTCAACAACTCAATGTTATGAATATGTGTGGATCTTATTGGAAAGAGGGGGCTAATAGAGGATGGAGGACAATGGATGTTGTAATAATCAGAATGTATGATATGGTCAAAGAACAAACTTAATAGTAGCTACAAAAACACTTCAGAGAAAGTCTGTACTGAAGACATCACACATAGAACAAGCCCTGAGCTCCAGGCTCAGAAGATGCCAGCAGAAGTACTGTGAACAGACTGAAAGGTCTGCTGAGTCATGGCTTGGACTTTTGAGGGGACAGTGCTCTTGTAAGCAGTATTCTTTAGTCTCTAGCTGATAATGGAATGACTTAACAGAAATATGTGAGAAGGAATGCATGTGAGTTCATGGGAAATTTATTGACTAATGATTAAAATATGTATTTCAAAATATAACATTGTTCTTATATAATGAATGTAAAGTAATATGAAAATAGAAACAATGAACATTATTCCCATGCTCTCAAGTTTTTTGGATGAGAAGAGCATGAATGTGGAGAGCATGGAGTGTATTCTTTTTATAATAGAAATAATCCAGTAGTATAGTTCAAAGTTTTGCCCTTAACTTAATAATAGGTCTCACTTGCTTTTAATTGTGACATAAAATGAATTCTACACTTGTTTTCTTTTGATAGAGTTGTAACGTATTTAATCTTCAAGGAAAAGAATGGACCCTTTTTATCATGTGTGATCAAAGTAATTTTAGATATCTGAAGTGATTAGCTACAGATGACAAATATGCTTATAATTTACCTTCATATGTTATTTATCATTTGTCATCTATATCTATCTATCATCTATCTATCTATCTATCTATCTATCTATCAATCATCAATCTATCACTTAATGTAACATCATCTCCTGTCTGGCTGTCTATATATCTGTCATCTATGTCTATCTATCATCTATCTATTAACTATCTACACCTGCCTATCTAATCTTTGTAAATACAGATGTGATCTGGCAAAATAACTAATGGTGTCACCTGGGATTGCATTTTGTTTTCATGTAATAAACTAATTATTCAGGCACTATTGTTTATAATGTAACCAAAAATTCAGGTATAGTAATTAAATCTGTCTGTTTGCTAATGGAGTGGGTGAAAAAGCCTCCACTCCAGCTTCCTAGCTGCCATCTTTGGTTATTGTCCATTTTCTGTGAAGTGCACCTTGTGCTTAGTGAGACTGAGGGCATGGTGAGGGACACATGTTCAGGTCTGCTAAATCTAACATGTCACCTATCCATAGCTTGGTGTTAGGAAAGTAGTGCCTCCTACAGTCTTACCTAACTGACTTCCACAGCTGTCAAGGGTTCTGGTGACTGCCCTCTTGGAGCAGATATAGAAGGAGGAATGTTTTAATGTAGACAGGTTTTCTTGTTTGATAGAAAACTACATTCTACTAATCAGAAAGAAGAGATGATAGATCTTGGAAGGTAGCTAGTACTTGTCATAGATGATGAGTATAAGAATGTTAATTCAAGTATTTTAAATCTGTTGTTCTTATTCTCGATATGAATATCAAAAATATAAAAGCATATCCATATAATTAAACAATAATAATTTCATTTTCATTTGTTAATAATTCATTTGCTTGTTTCTTTCTTTCTTTCTTTTGGGTCTTTTAAAGATGAGAATTTATTAGGTTTCTCAGGCTGGTCTGACTTCTTCCTATATTGGAATCCAAGAAAGTTTATTTTTATTTTTAACATAGTACTAGCCAGTATAACCAGTGCAACAACAAATTAAAGAAAAGGAGGCTTAGAGAATAGGAAAGGTGACATTTGGGTCCAAACATGACCGAAATGATCAACCAGACAACTTGTTACCAAGATAAGCAGGTCTTAAGATGTTAGTAAAATGTGAGATTCAGTCATTTCTATATAACATTTACAAAATGAAACCAAGCCATAATAAAATTATAGTCACTCAGAATGAACAAACATACAAACAAACACGGAAAATGAAACCACTCCTTAAGGATTTATATGGCAGAGTGCATCACTGGCTAAGAGGTGCAGAGGGAGTTTAGTTTTGTAACAAAGCTGCCTCCTCTATGACCAGTTAATCCATTCATGTATGCAGAGCCCGCAGAATCCAATTACGGTCAGAGCCACTGCCTTCAGCAGAACAGTAGCATGCAAATGTATGGGTTGTTTCCAACATGAGGAATTTGGAGGATACATTCAAGTCATGCCATTTGCAACCCCCCACTTATGCCTTTATGTGAAAATAGATTTACCCAACACCTCAATCCAGAAGAAGAAAGGGGCTCTTAGACAGAAGTAGTAGGCTCTGCAAGTTCTGTTGAGAAAGTTTCAGCCACACATTTCTGACTCATACTGCCCTAGCATAGGATGTTCATGGCGACTTTGTCCTGATGACAAGGGGTTAACTGGGATACCCTTGGAAGTCTAGGTGTCCCCTTCTCTCCAATTCTGTATCCCAGGATAATTGGCACAATGTGCGCATGGCCTG